TTCCATATAGAACTTTAATAAAGAACCCTTGAGGAAAGTTCACATGAGGGGTGGGACAATGTGGACATTTCTTATCATGATATGAGTGACCAGAGTGGATAAGTATTATTCAGTGTTCCTCTCAGTACTGTAAAAATATACTGAAAATGTTTGTCAGGTGTGAATACACAGTTATTACACTGATAGCTATGATTATCATACCATACCATCCCTAGTTTATACTTGTCAGAATTTTTTGCATTGTGAATTTTCTTTTTAATAATTTAACTTGGTATGATTTTTAGTTCCATGTCTCTTTTTCTCTGCAGATTCCCCAGCAGCCCGCCACCATTATCCAGCAGCTGCCTCAGCAGCAGCCCCTAATAGCGCAGATTCCACCCCCCCAGCCTGTCCCATACAGATCAGGCAGCATTAAAGAAGGTAACACACTCATTTTTTACTTCAAAAGATACACTTACTTTATAGATCCACTGTATCCATCTGTTTTCATGTACATTATACCAGCCACCCTCTACCACCCTCATCATTGTCCAGCTTCTGACCACAGGACCACTGTAGATCACTTATTATTTCTCAAAACAGCAGTGATTCTAACATTACAGTGTGTGTGGTGCTGGTACCAGGGGCATAGCTAGATGTTTAAGAATAAGGTGGCTGGCCAGGGGTTACATGAAAAATACAAAATTACATATATACATAAGCAAGCACATTCACGTGCCTGGTTACTGAGCAAATTAGCCTATCACAGCAAGACACACAAATTATTAAACTCAACATCGTCATAGTTCAATGACTGATTGGTAATGTCTAATTGCAGATTTTCACCATAATGCGTAATCGAGGCTTTATTGGTGGTGGCTGACCAATGATGGTTGACTGTCTCACTTTCCGTAATTGGGGTGTGCTGAAGGGTTGCCATGCTTCATGCTAGGATGGCACTGGCCACCCCAGCCACCCACTGTCTACGGCCTTGGCTGGGACCCAGTGGTGTTGCTGAGTTTTTACACTCAAAAGTGTCACTACTAGGTTGATGGCGGTCCACCGCTAAAAATATCCAGCCAGGTGCAGCTCTGTGGAAATAAACTGACTCCTAATGATGTATGGCCACAGTCTCTACAGTCTCACCTACATACAGCAAACCACTTTTTGTTGAATTATGCTGAATTGACTAGTTTAATGTCTTTCATTGCGCATTCATGTGCATGTACCCTTTATACAAGTGACCTGTTGATAAATAATGAAAATCCTGTTGGGTAGTAGTGGGTGAGTTTGAAAGACTGACTATAATTTAAATGAATTTGATTCTCAGACATGGTGGAGCTGATGCTAATGCAGAATGCTCAGATGCACCAGATCATTATGCATAACATGATGCTAAAGGCACTTCCCCCAATGGCCTTCTCTCAGGGTGGTCCAGGGAGTCCGTACACAGGCCAGGTGACCTCTATCTAATTCTGTTTATCATCATTCCCATCTTATTTGATATGGTTGAATTGTTTATTGCATGTCAACAAAAGTTAATTGAGGATATGTACTTGCATGATGTGAAGGAGAACTTTATAAAGCCCAGGGGAGGCGCCATTCATCACCATCATCACTACAGCCCTCCACCGCTCCCTCCCATCCCTCCCAGTGGTTACTCAGCCTGGCCGGCAGGACGGGGTGGAGCCTATCAGCCATCCATTCATCATGTAACCGGCCCTGTGACTCTTCCCGCCCTAAACCCGTAAGAGTCAATATAGCATGCAATTAAAACTGACCAGTTTAAAGAAGAATTCCACTCATTATTTCCCCATAATGCAGTTTTTAAGATGTAAAATGTACATTTTTTTTTACAGTGATGGTGATAGGAACCAGAGGTCACAATATTTACAAGACAAATATAGCCATTTTACTTACTGTCCAAAAGACCAGCAAACCCGTAAATATCTTCTTATTTCTATATGTAATGCTAATAATGGTAAAATAGTGGTAAATCAGAGAAAATATTTTTTACCTTATATTTTTTTATATTTTTGCCTTATAATGGCCTGCATGTACTTCATCGAAGAGAATTTAAAAAAAATGTCCTAGGCCAAAGCTTTATCTCAAGACTATCATAAAATAATGTCACAGACATCGAGGAACGTATTTGTAACCATTTCACATGATAATTTTAGCTTTTAGAGGCATAAAACACTTCAGATGTCTGGTTCCTATCACCATCATTGTGGACAATACTGATTAAGTTCATTTTTCTAGAATGGAGCATTTCATATCAGACCTCTCTGAATGACTTCATTTACATCTTAACAATTTCATTATTCAGAAAATGATTAAAATCTGTGGCATTCTCCTTTTCCTAGGCACTATAGCATTGACGCTAATGACAGTAACGCACCTTTGTGAAAGTCCATTCACAAATCAGTTAATCAATCTCATTATTAAATGCAGGTATTTGTGTGTGCATACATAATCTCAGGCCTTATAACAATTAAAAATAGTAATTTTATGTTGAAAGCTGTGCTAAAAGATAAAAAGTTTTTTTTGTGCTTTACTGTCATCCTACAGAATGACCATTGCTGGACTGAAGTGAGGTAAACGCACAAGGATTATAAAACCAAATGTATTTATTCAAACATATTCAAATTTGTGCTCTGTCTCTGATACTGATAACATCTGCTGTTTATCCCTGTCAGCCCCCTCTCAACTTCAATGAAGATCAGAACTTGCAGGATGAACATTGCAGGCTGAAAAATATTCTTGTGACTGAATTATACTATAGAATAAAGCTATATTTTTAGGTTTGGAGTAAAGCTAAGTTGTTGTTTTTTGTCATCATTCAATATTGTATGTGACCAGATCACATTGAACAATAATATTAATGCCATATCAGGGGAAACAGATTGCAATGAGTAACTACAAACAATGTCCAGTAAAGAATTAAGTGAACCAGAGATTTGGTGAACATACATTACCATTTGCACTTTGAATTACAACATGGAAAAAATATAAATTATTGAATAAATGAAAAAGAAAAAAGGTGCAACACCATATACACATTCAGCAATATAAGAAAATGAACCCATAAATAAATTCATAAATAAATAAAAAACTAAACATTGAGTAAATAAAAAACTAAAAGTGAGTTTTATACATATACATATATACATATATATATATGTACATGTATATATATATATATATGTACGTGTATATATATATATATATATATATATATATACACATATATATATGTACATATATATATATATATATATACACACATATATATATATGTACATATATATATATATATATATATATATATATACAGGCTGCGTAAGAGTCCTTCGTCAATAAGCAAATAAATACATTCTAAAAAACAAAAACAAATTACAAATTTAAAAAGTCACAAAATACTCCTACACACAATAAGAGTCGAGTGTTCATCTTACTAGAATGAACCTGATTTTCTTCAGTTTCTACTTTACACTTAAATCATTAAGATGTACACAAAGTCATTCTGAGCGGTTTGATGTGAAATGCACTGGAGAAGCTTGATTCAAAACCATTCACAGTGGTGGTGATAGGAACCAGATGTCTTAAGAGTTTAATGCCTCCTAAAGCCCCCTCATAGAAAGTTACATGAAACTAGCAACAATTCTCCAAATCCACAGTTTGATTCAGACCTCAGATTTTGAGCCATTGTTTGGTTCATACCTCTTTTTTTTTATAGAGGTGGTGGTGGTGGTGGTGGGGGGGGGCTAGGTTTTATTTAATCACCAACAATTTGGAGCACTAAAAAAGAGGCTCAATAAAGAACATGGTATACAGGTTGCCCTGACTTTAAGTAGAATAGTAATTTCATGATTTACATTCGGACAGTGTTAATTGTGAAATTAGTTTTGTTACATTGGTCACATAATGAGAGCTCAACAGCAGCAGTGACAGCGGGTTGAGTTTGAGTGGGATGGTATCGCTGTTCCATCTTCTGGAACCGCGACACGAGACTATGGACGTTTGTATCGTGGTTTCGGTCTCGGTTTCAGAATCATTACACCCCTGCATGAAATGAGTACAAACCTACTGCCTGATGTCTGAAACACTGTTTTCCTCTGGTTTTGAGATAAAGTTTTGGCCTAACATGCATTTTTTTCAAAACCAATTCATGGCGGAGAGGTACGGTGCTATAGTGCAAAATATATTCCCCAAAGGAAACTTATTTTTTTTATCACAGTTTTACACTACATATAAAAAAGTGTAGGTTCACTGGTCTTTTTGGATAGTTGATAAAATGGATATATTTGCATTGTAGACATCACGACCCCAGATTCCTATCACTATTGTAGAGAAATCAGAGCTGGTGCGTTTCTCTAGAATCAAACCAAAATTCTCTTTCACATCAAACCACTTGGAATGACTTTGTTTACCTCTCAAAGACTGGATTACGCAGTTATTTTGTAAAAAAACAAAACAAAAAAATTGGAATCACCCTTTAAGCTGTATGGAGCCCCTAAGGTGACATAGTGATTTTTTTAAATAAAGCGTTATTAAACAAGGTGTTATTGTATTATATTACTATATTGAAAGTAAAGTTTCTAATAACTCACGGCGTCAATATAGCAATATGTGGGCTCAATTCATTTGTGATCTCAACTCGTGGCCTTAATAAATTCATTTGATACCTCAAAATAGTAACTTGCGGCCTCAATATAGTAACTCGTGGCCTCGATATATCCATTTGCGACCTCAATATATTCCTTTACGACCTCAAAGTACCAACATGCGGCCTCGATATATTAATTTGCGACCTCAAAATAGTAACTTGTGGTCTCAACACAGTAACTTGCCGCCTCAATATAGTGACTCGTGGCCTCGATATATTCCTTTGCGCCCACGCCATATTAAAAAATAGTCACCATGCCACCTTAGGGGCTCCGTAAAGCCGGGCTTTAGTGGTCTCAAAATGTTTCTGTAATCCATTGGTTGCTCTTTGACCGGTGACGTTTGCCGTAGCCGAGCGCGGAGAGGCGGGGATCACGCGCAGATGAGCGAGAATCCACGGGACCGACCGGAGCGTGGCGTTAGCCGTTGTGTTTCAACCTGGCTTGTTGGCAGAAACCAGCACAGTCCTGGCATTACCGAGCGAGCGGGTGTCCTTTTCTTCGTGGTGGTTTGTGATGTATGAATGGATAGTTGACGGGCTGTCGTCGCTCTTCGTGCCTTTTTCTGGAGAGAGTTTGGCGGTGTGGCCTACAGACGGTAACGGAGACGGGAAAGCGCCGCTGCGAACCAGCACTACCGAAACACAGCACCAACAACAGGAGCATTACAGGCCTGCAAAGCGAAACTATCAAAGGTGAGTATCTGCGCCATTTACATCTGCATTAAACAACCTGTCTAACTGTTTTTCTCATTTGTCTTCTAGTTAACACAAACATAAGAGCTCACAGGCAGAAATGTTAGCTAACGTTAACCAGCGCTGGCTAGTTCTACCACGCATGCTAGCTAGGTTAGCAAACACAAGCTAGCCAGCTAACGTCATTTGTCTGTCAGGTTAGCGGGTAGCGCCGGACTGGTTGGCTCATTTTGTCAGGCGTTCATGTAATGAATTGATAATTTCGTGGAAAAGTCGTTTTAAATTCATGAGCTCTTTTTAAATCAGCGGTTAAACAGCCTGGCCAGCTAGCCGGTGAAGCTCAGCAAGCTGCTACAGACAAAAGCTTGTTATGTCAACAGTCGCGGCGTTTCTCACTGACACGAGACCAGACAGTAGTACCGAAGTTACGGTTAGTGTGTTAACTAAGGAAAAGTGAGCTAAACTTATTTAACAGCTACAGCATCCCGAGAATAGTAGCTAAGATACTTCCCCTCAGGGCACATGCAGTTAGATGTGTTGAATAAGTTTATCTGCTGTTATGAGCTGAAGGTGTGATGACTTGTCCTATCTTATGCAGTGTTCACTCTCCTGATGGCGTGTCTGAGCACCTGGAGATCAAAAGACCAAGACGAGGTACCTAGATACCCATTCATCACCCAAACTGCTGCACATCTTTTCACTCTCCACTTCACTTCGTTGTTTTTTTAGTGCAGGTTCTGCTAATCCAGTCCTAGGGGACCCTCAGCCAGTCCACATCATAGCTTTCGACTGCTAGAACACTGGCTGTTCTGAAATCCTTCCCTATTTGCACGCTGAGTGTTTTTCTTTTTCATATCTAAACCATGTTATGGGCATCTAGAGTGATTTTAAAGGCACTACACTGCATACATAATTTCTAATGAACCCTGATGGTCGCTGCATCGGCTGAATGTATACCAAAGTGTGTACCAAAGTCCACTGAGCTGTTGAAAGCTTATCTTGGCAGACTCCCTCTCCCTGGCAAAACGCTGTGAAAAACAGTATGTAGGTACAGGTCAAACCAAAGACCCTAACATATTTACTGGCTGCTGCTCATGAAAGAGCAAACACACTGGTAACTGTAGGATTATGCAGTGTAGAGGTCTGCACAGGCATGAAATTGAAGTCCGAACCTGACCTGTACCCTTGACTTTGAGACTTGAGCAGACCCTGCTGAACCTGACCCAAACCCACTTACAGCATGTAGAAGGATTATTGGAGGCACGGTTTTATAGTGCCTAGAGCTGAATGGTTTTGAGAAAATGTCTAATTACGATTTTTTGGTGAATTACAATTACATTTTGATTGTTTTATAAATTAAGGTCTGGATTAATTTGCTGTCATTAGTGCTGCTACTTTCAGGAATGCTTAGCACACTCTGGGCTAACTTTACAAGCAAGGGGAAAGATTTGCTGAGACCTTTCCACCAACACAATCACATCTCTTTCATCTTCTATAGTGTGACTGCGACTGATGTATCTTGAACGTCATCCCTGGTTTTATTTAGGGGCATGTTTACCCATTACTGCAACTCTGGAGATATTCCGAACGCAGCTATGAACTGTAGTATTTCAAAAGGGAGAGAGAAAATACATGTGAGTGCATGAAATTTACACATTGTTTCAGATAAAAATAAATGTACTATATAAAAATTCAGTAACTGGAAAACAAAGAAATGAGTTGGACCCAAGCCCTGTATTGTACATGAAAAATTGGCCTAGTATTCTAATGGGCCCCATCAGGCTTGGTTCAGGTAGCAGACCTGTACTGTACCAGAATTATATGTAGCCTTATCAAGTTTAGTACCTTTTTCCCTGCACTTTTCAGAAAGGTACATCCATGTCTATGGCTGTGAATCGGTAACCAACTTCAGGCTCACTCAAGCAACGGATGTTGGTTTGTTTGCGCAGCTGTTGAATACTGATGATTGATGATAGGAAGGTGTTTAATTTATTGATTCATTTAGTTTTACTATTATTTAGCAAACAGTAAGCAAGTAGTCAACCCCTATATAGCAAAATACTAATGAGGTAGGGATCCATTTCGGTCAAAGCCACTGGTTATCTGATTTGTTTGTGTCAAGAAATGGGACAAACAAAATATGGGCTGGTTGAGTTCCATAGGACTGGATTGAGAAACAAGTGCAAGTTGCAGCCCATTTTAAAAGAATTGTTAATTATGGTTCCTGATTAATGTGTTTCTCTGCAGATGTGATTGTCCAAGTGGTCAAGAAGACTTTTGCAGGGATTGCTGGGTTGCTTCGGCTGCGACAGCACAAGAAGTGCCATTATGCAAACGACAAGGAGCATAGAGGAACACAGGTTCTGCACCTTAAAGCTTAGTAGAGCCTGTCAAAAAATATTACATTTCAGCATAAGAACTATATTTCTTATGTTGTACTTTGCACCCTTAACACAGGTTGGACATATTGCTCTTATGGGAATTGATGAAATTCACAGCAACAGCCTAAATAAATGGATGATCACTGGTGATGCTAAAATGGGTAAGTGCCATTTTATGGCCGCATTTATTTTTTCTGCTGGTTAAGCTGGTGAATAGAGAAGGGTACTCAGTGATTTGTCTTTTTATGTCTACCTCATCAGAAAAACAGAAAGAAATGGGGTTTACCTGTAAAGAGAGGACTGTGTCAAACTTTTACCAGAATGCACAGGCCAGCATAAAGAAACCTGAGTGAGTACTGATAATATTTTCACAAATATATTAACCCTTGGGTGGTGTTGGTGTCTTGCATTACTGTGGTATTTTCAGTGTTTAACAAAAAAAAAAATAAATGTGATTTATTATTTCAACCTCAGATTCCTTGGCCATTTTTCCATAAATTTTTATGGCCGTTGATTTAAAAACAATTTAGTGATTGGTCCACCAGACCAACTGAGTAACAAATACACCACACAAGGGTTAAGGCCAGGGAACATGTAATTGTGTTACCATAGAATCCTGAACAAATAAACTGAGACACTATGATGATTTGACCTTCCTCTTGTAAATCAGTGGAGCAATCCTGTATATGGGAAATCAAGACAAACAAAGAGAACGGCCACACAGGAGGCCACTGCACCTGCTGCCTTCTCGTACTGGACTGGGACTGCCTGAAATGGAGCCCCCCAGCCGCACTCACAAGCCCTGCCTTGCAGTGGAGGAGGTAGGAGACACACAGCACCTGGCACCTAGGTGACTGATGTCTCATTTTCATCTGAAGGGAATGCTTTGGTTTAAAAAAAAAATAAAAAAAGAGAGGAATTTACTACATTTTTCACTTACCCCAAATGTTTTTGTTTGATTAACCTAAAGTTTAGCACTTGAACTATGAGGCTAATGTTGCTAACAAACACTAGAAGTCAGTCACCCAAATCTTTTCTGTAAAAAAAAAAAATTTCCAAAGCTTCTGTCAAACTACATCCGGGGTTTTATATATGTGCGTGTGTTGAATTCCACCTCAGCTTTGTGTGCATGACATCACGCGGTCTGCTTTACAATGTAATCTAGCATCCTTTTGTCTACATGATGTCTGTGCACCTGAAGAGGAGTTGTTTTTTGTGGGGCTGGTGAAATTCAACTCAGTGAAATAGCTGTCTGCAGTTACATGGAGACATTTTGTTAATTTTTAGTTGACACTAATTCATTCTGTCCTCTCAACCAGAATCAAGTCTGCGTGACCAGGGGGGTATTTAACAGAGCAGGATTCCCCAGTAAGCTAGATAACTTAAGCACAAAGATGAGGACTGTACAGTAGGAATGTCCCTCAGCTCTTTTCCTATTAGACAGGCTTGACTTCGGCCTATCCCTTTGCTGCTGTACCTCTGTGAATTTCCCCGTTGTGGGACTAATAAAGGATTATCTTATCGTATCTGGCTAAACTTAGAATTCCTGCTTTGTGGAACACCCTCTGGATTACACAATGGTGATTTTTTGCTTAACTTTTCTTTTAAGTACTAACAGGTGTTTTGGCTTGTCTTGTAATTAAGGCACTGAAGGAAAGTGACAGAGAACACTACAGGAAGCTGGTAGAGATGGTCTCGGAAAAATACTCAAAGAATAAACCACTACCATTTGGACGGGTGAAACCGCCAAAGTAGGAACATTCAATAATGTGCTTTTCTTTTATATTGTGTGTCTCTGTTTTTGCAAAGGTTGTGCTTCCTAAAGATACAAATGTTATTCTTTTTATTAGCTAATTGTATTTGAAACATTAGCACTTCTGAGTGTACATAGTTATTTGTAAGCTAAAGACTGAAGACACTGATAGTCATTTATTTTTTTATTCTTTTAGCACATCTTTTTCCTTGGATGGTCATAAGTCCTGTAACCATACTGCTGAGATCAGTAAACCTGCTCCAATCAGAGGTGAGCTCAGCTGTGACTGTTGTTTTCTTGCTCTTTCTCACACACACACACACACACAGCCTATTTAGTGATACCTGAGAGTTGGCTCAAATTGCCTTTAAAATGGTTTCTTTTCCTCTATAGTCAATCCCAGTGTGTCAGTATGGAGGGGTTCAACTTCAGTAAATTGCACAAAGGATAGGTAATTTGATAAAATTTTTCATGCTGTCTCCATAAGCCTTCTTCCATTTTTGTGGTTCTTCTCCAATCTAATTTCTTCTAATATGTGCTATACGGTTAACCTTCTGTTGCAGGTTGGTTGATGCTGCTTGCAGTGCGCCAGTCAGTGGTGTCAGAGACAAGAAACCAGATGATCTATCTTCCAAGAAAACAGTGGTAAGGAATGTTGCACTCTAATACTACACTGCAAACTTTAGACTTCGTTGGAAATTTCCACACAGAGTGCTTTACATTGACACATCTGTACCTCTTTGACTTTGTTTCTCTCTCTGTCTCCAGCCAGTAGATGTGGATCTGTCTGTAGAGGTAGAGACCCGGCTGAATCTGAAGGAGAGAGAGACAGTTGCAGTTGCAGTGTCCCAGACAGCTGCGCAAACACAACATGAACCCATCCTTGACACAGGGAGGCGCTGTGAGGAGGAGTTCCCCAGACTAACTAAGGTTAACTAAACTAAACTACTGTGCTTTCTAATTATTTGATGGTTGTGAGCCCTTCTATTTTGGGCTTTACATTTGGGTAAATAATCACTACCATATCATGTGTCTCATGTATTTCAGGAGATGCAGCACGAGGTGAGCGCTGCTCTTGCGCAGAGGGATCCGAACCTGGTCTTGAGTAGCGCTTTCAAACTGCGTATCACACAGCGAGATCTGGCAACACTACAGGAGGGCAGCTGGCTCAATGATGAGGTACCATATACAAGTATAGTCCTGATGTAATGCAGATGTGCTCTAATCTGGACTTTGAATCTGAATCTGGTTCTGACTTTGATAGTCGTCACACCTGAATTTCGAAGAAGTTGAAAACTAGTACCTGTTGTGCAGTTTAAGTATGATATCTCTGATCTAATATTTTAAGATTTGCCTTCCAAATCTTTTTGAATTTCGAGTTTCCACAAGAGTTAATCAAGAGGGATGCGTGGATATGGAAATTGTGGGCTGATGCCAATATATATTTTGCTTGAGTATCTGCCAATGCTGATACATAAGCATTTATAAAGTGTAGAAATTGAATTAAGATTTTGTTTTGTGTGTGTGTGTATAAATCTAGTGCACATTCCTAATATGCAGGTTTACGTTCTTTAGACTTACATGCTTACTATTTCTTGAAATAGTTTAGTCATATTAACAGACATTAAGAAAAATGTTCTCCTTATTCTATAAAGTTAGTGTTTCAGAAATACATGGCAGCGATGTATAATGTGGAGCAGTTATCTCCACTGCACAGGTTCACTTGTAATCATTCTTTGCTTGAGTTGTGAAGGAAGACATCAAATTGTCCCCCTTCTTTCCCGCTGTAAGGTGATAAATTTCTACCTAAACCTGGTGATGGCACGCAGTGAGCAGGATGCAGTTGGTATAAAGGTGTACTGCTTCAGCACGTTCTTCTTCCCCAAGCTTCATGGGGGCGGCCATGCTGCTGTCCGCCGGTGGACCAAAGCTGTTGACCTCTTTCTGCATGACATTATCCTCATACCTCTCCACCTAGGCGTCCACTGGTCTCTTGTAGTAAGTCAACTATAACATCACTGGCTTGTACTGTAAACACTCTGTATTAACAGCTTGTTTTGTTTTGTTAAAATTTTGCATTTGCATGAAAACCAGTGTCTGTGTTTTGAGTGTGTGAAATGTACATACTGATTTTGAATGTAGCACAAATGAGACTCCTACTAGATTTTGACTATTTCTGTCTTGATATAATCTGTTTAAGAAGCACTGAGTGGTGTAGGTTTGACACTAAAAGCTTCTGGTTCTTTCTCTCTCCTGTAGGCTGTTGACTTCAGAACTAAATCTGTGAGGTCATATGACTCCATGGGCCAACGGCATGATGACATCTGCAACCTGATCCTGTGAGTGGTTCGGCTGTGCTTCTACAGGAACAAACAGTCCATCATTCTGGCAGAGGTTACTGGAGTCACACACCATGCTAACTGTTTGCTTTACTCTTTCGTAGGATGTATCTGAAAGAGGAGTACAAGGTCAAGAAAGGCAAAGACCTGGAAGTCTTAAAGTGGACAGTGACCAGCATGCGTGCCACTGTAAGCTTGAGCACAAACATGGATCGAGTGACTTTGAGAATTTTCTTATTAGTAAAAAGGTGCAACACTCACTCTGTCCAAAGCAATAGGGTAATTTTATTTGGTTAAAACCAAATATGGCGTTTCAGCCAATGTGACCTAATGAATGCATGTGGGGCCGAAATGTCATGTTATTAAACCAGACTTTTTTGCTGAGGATAGTGATCAATCCAACCAGTATTGTTCCACAGTATTGCACCTTTTTTTACTGGTAACTTTTTTACATTTTGGTAGCAACTCATCTGTAGTAGGCGGAAGCACCTCTTCGCCTTCTTTTGAGAATTTTCTTAACGTAATTTTGAAATAGGTGCCTGTGTTACGCTGCATCATGCAGTCCTTGCTGATATGGAATGGTAATTATGAACAAAAAAAATAAATTTTTAGGAGGTTCCTCAGCAGAAGAATGGGAGCGACTGTGGTGTGTTCGTATGCAAGTATGCTGACTACATCGCCCGTGGACATCCCTTTACCTTCAGACAGGTAACACACACGCAGCAGAGAGTAACTTTAACTATAAAATACAGTGTTCAGCAGCATGGCCACAGTTTTCGACATGAGCACCGTTATAGCACAGTGAATTTAACAAGCCCAATAACAAACACACATTGTTTAATGGCTGATGATAGAGATGGAGGTGAGACAGCGGGATCACATTAGAACTTCACTTTGGTTGACTATATTGTAAAAAAATGAGCATCTCTGAAGGTCATGGGTTCTAATCCTAGGACTGGCTAGATAATCTTGGTTGTGCCCTTGGGCAAGGCCCCCCAATGCTCCAGACAGCGCTACTCTGCTTGTAATGCTGTGATGCTCTGAGACTGGGCCTAGTTAGACAGCGAAACTACATTTCGCATGTAGATTCAGTGAAGTACAACATAACAAATATTACTTATAAATACAGTCCGTTTCTGTGATAAATGTTTCTAAAATTCTGCCCACAAATTCTTCATTTTGCCCACAGGCTTCATTGGTCAGTTCATTTTTTTTTTTTTGTCTGTTTATGCCTGGTTGGTGGGCTAAATTGCTGTAAGCTGAATAGGCGGATACATGTAAATGCGCTGGTGACATTACAAAAACAATTCATTTGAAAGGGCTTTTTTGGGGCTTTATAGGACTGTGGAGTAATTTGTATATTTTGAAGCTTTAACATTGTTTACATACTACCTCAGTGTTTACATACAGTTCTCTGTTTTTAAAAGGAAATTGAGATTTTCTTTTTTCATAATATGGTTACTTTAATAGTTCATTCTGGTTTATACTACATATTCTTTATCTCTGAATATCATATCTCTGATTCTCTGTAGTGTCACATGCCGTATTTCCGCAAGGCGATGATCTGGGAGATTCTGAAGCAGAAACTGCTGCAGTAGGAGTGTGACAAACAGGCTGAACTTGACCAAAGCCCAGGACCACAAGACGTTCATCCTCCACGTTTATCTACAGAGATTTAGAACAGATGTTTGCTTCCGTTCTAGTATGTGTCTCTTGTCGTACTCTTTCCAATCAGCCTGATGACACACAGTGATGTTTGGTGTTGTCTTCTTTTTTGTCACTGGCATCTGTTGGCAGAGAGTGCTGATAGATTAGATCAGACAGTACGGCACTGGACTGGAACATGTAGAGGCAAAATCAGTGGAGTTTTTAGGCAGCTTTGATGATAAAGCACCTCGTCATTCCTAGACTTGTCCCCCCTCAGGATTAGCCTGTGTAGTTGCAGGGCCATTTCCGATTGGCTCTCTTGATTCTAGGAGAGCTAATGTTAGAGGATTTGAATGCAGTGTTGAGTGCAAGATGATCTTTTTAGCATTTGTATGGGGAGACAGAATTCGCACAGTTCTTTTTCCAGTATGACTGGCCGTGTAGACTGAACGTAATGGATGTACAGTATCTTTACACACTGGCTGCCATGTCTGAGTGAGAAAAAAGTGAACTATTTATTGCTACAGGAGTGAGTGAGTCTTAATTCAGCTGGATGTGAAACATACTTTGGACTGTTAATCGCAGACAGCAATCGTAAGCAATGGCAGAAGTGAATGTATATGAGAACTATGGTACTTGAGCTGCGTATTGCAGTGAAAGCAACAGTATTTATTCAGCGGACTGGTTTTGTCCTCACGTGTAAATACATAGACCCAGCCCCAAGTGCCTTCATACAACCTTTTGTTCTTCTTTTTACTCTTCAGTACTAATTAGAACAGTTTGAAACACTGCTTAAATTGAACTGGAGACGTTGTGTGCATGTTTGCCTGAACTGAGGTATTAACTGAGGTACACAGGTCTGTATTACATTATAGGTTTGTATGATAAGTGTGATGATAAAGGAGAGGGATTCTTACATCTTTCATCTGAAGTCCTCTTTGATTACAACATGCTGTATGCATACTACAAGATACAAGTGTTTTTTTTTGTTTGTTTGTTTTTTTTTAACTGGACTGAAAGCTACAAACAGTAACTCGCGCCAAATGGTCATTTTACTGCCTTTCGTATGTGCTCTTTTGGTAGCACACGGGCAAGAAAAGACCTTTTTAAAAGGAGCAGAAAGTAGCATTTTCATCTTTTGCCTGTCATTTGCATTAGTGCAGCATATTTTTGGCTTGTCATTCATTCTGTGGCTGGTTGCTGAAATATTTAGCAGCCTACATGTAGGATTAAGGTCAGAAATTCACTCAACCACCCTTAAACCTTCAGTTATCACCAGAATTTAACATTCCATACCTGTTACTTTTGTGTAATGTGCATAGTTCCTAATGTTTCATCAGCTTTTAATGAAAAATTCTCTTTCTTGCTCCTTCCATTGGAATTGTAAACTGAAGTCAGTGAAAGCTCATTATTTATACAAGTTACTCTTCTAGATTTGGATGAGCTTGAGTATTGCATTATTATCTAAACCTGTTCATATTTTGTGATTATTTGTGAGAGTGAGGAGATTGAGAGTATGAGCATAAGTTGAAGTGTGTGTTACTACAGACAACTAAAGAGATTTTGATGCCTACTGTATATGCGCTGACATTTGTCTTTCATGCAGATTGTTGGTTATTTTTTTAAGTAATAAAGAACAGAGGAAAATATTTCTGCCTTGTCTTTTGATGTGGTTCAAATTTACAACCTGCTATGAGCTCAGTTACTTGATATTGTTGAGGCAGTGTTGGGCAATATAATATTTGTTACTGTGATAGTCACGATCATATTGTTTGTTTGTTGGGAAAATGTAGTATTTTTTAGTACTTAAGTATTGTAATTTTTTTTTTGTTTTTTTTTTTTAACTGTATCATCCACCTGTACTTGCTGCTTTCCACTGATTTTAAAAAAAAATCTGCATAACTAAATGGTTAAGATGTAAACAGTCATTCAGAAGTTTTTTTCATGAAAAGCTGTAAGAATTGTTCACAATGATTGTTATAAGGACTAGACATCCAAAGCATTTAACTCCTCTAAAGCCTAGCTCACCAAAAGCTATTGCATAAAATGGTACATTGCAGACAATAATTGAGATGTTTTGCGATGGATTTAAGGTCAATTTGTGATTTAAAACGTAAATTTTCAAGTGCATTTCATGGTAGAGAGACACGTGCATGTTGTATGGCAAAAATAGTCCCAAAATAAAAGGTTTTAATTTACCACTGTTACTGTGTAGCAGTAAGTATCAGAACCATTTCATGTTAAACCACTCTGAATGCGTTTACACCAAGACCACTAAATTTAAAATTTTGAAAAATCAGTGGAATTCCCCTTTAATGCAAAGGAAACATTAGATGTAATGACCATCTTGCACCACCAGGTGGTGGTGTCATATTTTGCTCATAAATGTAGTAGCAGCAGAGATGCGTACAGTCTCTGAAAATAACCTAACTTCCTTGGGGAGGATTTTCACGAAAAAAGAAATTTGCAGTTGTCTCAATAACTTGAAATCAGCGTCCTCAAGTCTTGAGTTAAGAAATGAGCACAGTTTCAGCCTCAGTTATGTCAAGCCCAAGTGTTGCAGTGTGCTTTGTGTAGATAAGAGTACAACAAAGTGTCAATCACAGTAATGATGTCATGTAAGTCAGTATCGCACCATCAACCCAATGTTTTATTAGAATTAAAAAAACAACAATAAACAGCTCCATAAAGTATGACACAATACATAACTTCTCCCAATCAAACAGTAAACAAAACCTCAAATTTCAGGCTGCACACTCAAGTGTTCTGTTCAAGAAGGGGGAGTAGCCAGTTTCGATGCTCATGCTGGTAACTCTGCCCTGTTCCTGAGCAAAGTAAGCCTTCGCTGCTCGGCCTACATTGGCCTGAATTGCCCATGGAAACAAAAACACAGCCTAGTTCTCACCTGAGAAAGGACAGAACCCACTTCCTCCACTGCCCTCACATGATCCACTGCGTAATTTATTAATAACCCTCAATTATTCAAGTACTTTGTGTGTGGAAAAGTCAGCAGCTGGTGCTCATGTGAGGGTAAGAGGATCTGCTCAGGCTGTACGCCCACTGTCCTTCACGTGATATCTTGGTGACAAAATATTTCCAACTCCTATTCAGAGAAAGATGTGAAGCCTGTCTCACGAAGCAGGTTCAGCTTAGACAGGGTTCCTGACCAAGCTTCCGCTTCACACAACCAAAATAAGGGAAATGCAGTCAACGGCTTTATCTGTTAGCTCAAGACTAGATACCCAAGCTATGATCGGCCTAATCACTGTACGCATACAGGTTGAATGTGATGTTTATGATGAATCACATGAAAGGAGGAGGAATCGAGTGGCTTAGTTTTCAAAGGAAGAAGAAATCTACATAAATACCCTACATGGCCAAAAGTATGTGGACAGCACTTATTATTACTGAGCTCAGGTGTTTTCAGATCTTGTTAGATCAACCCTAGTCAACTGTAAGTGCTATTAGCCATAGAGCTGTAGACCAGACAAACACCAAGTGCATACTGTGTGAAAATTGCCTATACTCTGTTGCATCACTCACTACAGCGCTCCAAACTGCCTCTGACAGCAACCTCAGCACAAGAACTGTACATCAGGAGCTTTGTGAAATGGGTTTTCTGGGTTGAGCAGCTGCACACAAGCCTATGATCACGTGCAAAACCAAGTATCAGCTGGAGTGGTGTGATGAATGCTTCATTATTTGACAGTCTGATGGATGAATCTGGATTTGGCAGATGTTAGGAGAATGCTACCGGAATGCACAGTGACAACAGTAAAGTTTGGTGGAGGAGGGATAATGGTCCAGGGCTGTTTTTCAGGGCCTGGACTCCCTCAGTTACAGTAAAGGGTAATGTTAATGCTACAGCATACAAAGATATTTTCGACCAGTATATCCTTCCAAATGTGTGGCAACTGTTTGAGGAAGGCCCTTTCCTGTCCCGGGGTGGGGGGGTGGGAGGCCATTCCATATTAATGCCCATGGTTTTGGAATGGGATGTCCAACAAGCTCATATGAGTGTGATGGTCAGGTGTCCACAGACTTTTGGCTATATAGTGTATGTAGGAAGTAAAGCATGTTTACCAGTAAAAAAGAAAACCCGTCACCACTGCCACTGCGTTAGTGCTTAGTCTAATTTACTATATATTACGATCAGAAATGCCAACTGCCGAGAGCAGTTAGACATGGTAATGTATCCTGGTAAAAAGTGATCCACCATCATGAGATAGAAAATCCAGGGTTAGGTCAGAATACATTTAAAGTTAGCTGGCTAAGCAAGAAACCCTGCTTTGTGAGAGAGGCCCACATTGCAACTGATGTGTAAACAAAATGATGAGCACCACAGTACTTTTCACAACTTCATCAACAAACGGTTTAAAAAGTGTCGTAATTTTTCTTGTTATTCCAGAACACTGAGTTCCCTTTAACAATGGCAGTTATTTGCATAGGATTGGTTGAAATCTCTGAGACTTGATTGTCAGACAGGTTAAGCCTAGGTTTAAACTTAATAGTGAATCTGCCTCAAAACAAATCCTTTCCGTTCTGTTCAGTTCAGTTCTATGTCCATTACGTTTGTAAAAGTCTGACAGTAAATACTGCCATTTTCAGTTACTCTCTTGTTGCATCTCATTGAACCAATCAGTTCCACATCCATAATAAAACACTCAGGCTCACTGGTCACTTTATTAGAAAGCTTTACTTTGTAGGTCCACATTGCTGGTGTACAGTTGCAGACTGTAGCCATTCTGTTCCCACGCTCAATTTGTGTTAAGGATCCTCTAGACTAGGAGTATTCAACTCAAACCTGGAAAGGTCCAGTTGCATCAAGTTTCTTGCTAACAAAGGTCCAGATAAACAAACACAAGTTAGTGCCGATGACAATTACCTTTAAATACTTAACTATTAATGATTAGTCCAGGCAACTAATACAATCAAATAAGAAACATCAAATATATTTCTACACATTTTTGATGTTGTAGTTTGAATGTATTTTTGGAATCTAATAGGCATTTTAAAGTGGTATGGCCACTGGCTTGTTTTTAAGTAAATAAATAGATAAATAAGTAACTGGAAAAAACACTTTAAAGTATCTTGTCTTTCCATAAAGTAAAGTAAATTAAATTAATAAAAAAATAAGTTGAAATATTATGGTCTTAATAAACATTTCACGCTCTTGCGCTGTCAGAGAATGGACGAGCTCCCTGGCGGACTTTTCATGCTGAGCTTTGCATTTATTTCATTTGTCCTCAGAACAGGATTTTGTTGGTAGGTTAATTTGAACTGATTTGTTTCGGAGTGGCGCTGATGCTTAACGTTTTTGCTTGTGACTCCGAACAGATGAGGCACATCTGTATTGAACTTGAAAAGGGGACCGGAAATAATAATTAAAATTAAAAATCTATGGAAATATGTTAATTATTTGCTTTCTGACCTGATATCCAGCCCTGTAGGCACTGTTCTGATGAGCTGCCTTTGAATAAATCATTTCTTTAAATGTGTGCGACTGAATAAACTGGACCACAGTACTGCTACAGAAGCTGCGCTGCTTCATCTTCATGAATGTAGCTGAAATATGACCATTTCTTACATATTTTAATCAGCTTTGCTATAGAATTGTTTTTATACTTTGCTGGTTTTATAGCAAAGCCTAAAATACTTGACTGACATCTGAACTTCTTTCCACCAGTTAAAGACCCCTGCCCTAGGGTCAATTTCTGACCACAGAGGTGTTCTTAGATGGATAATTTTGGGTGGTGGACCACTCTTATGACACTGACAGGCATACAGTGTGTATGGCACTCGTATGTCAGTGTCAGTGTCACTGCTGTGCTGAGAATGAACCACCATCCAAACAATATCTGGACAGCAGTGGTCCTGTGGTCAGAGAGGGACCAATAATGAATGTCTGTAATTGTACACCTTTACAGTAGGCCTATAAAGTAGTGAGTGAGTGTTCATATACAAAGTCAGTGTTTACAACAAAGTGGACTATTTACTGGAAACAGATTAGGCCTAGCCCTAGACGTGTTCTGAATTTCCCCCCTAGACCCAAAGATTTGCCAAGGATCTTGCAATTTAGTCCCAGACTAGGCTTAAGCAGTATCCACAGCACCAGCACTAATCTCACTAACCCGATGTGGTCTGTCTGTTCCTCACCGCAAGCTTTTGTGCCACAGGTCGAAGCAAGGGACAGCATGCAGCCGGACGTATTTTTGGCCGCCAGAGGAACACTCCAGGCAGCCGTAGACAGTCTCTCGGCGCTGGTGCCCCATGCCGCAAAGGGCGCAGGGGCCTTTAGGGATGTTGTGGTTGAGCAGGTTGACTCGTGTATGTTTGTCCTCCCGAAGGTAAGAGGTGGACAGGTCAGTCATGCTGGCGGCCTTCTCATAGTAGTCTGCCACATCGTCCATATACATGTCGGAGTGGGTGAGCTCTTCAAATGTTCTGTCATCTATGAAGTAGGGAAGAAAGTGAAGGATGGTTTAAGTGAATGGGTACTGAAAAATGGGTGCTGACCAGCAAGAATTCCATGGTGGTTAGGACCCCCACAGGAACACCACAGAGCAGGTATTATTTGGGTGGTGGATCATTCTCAGCACTGCAGTAACACTGACATGGTGATAATGTGTTGGTGTTTGTTGCGCTGGTACGAGTGGATCAGATACAGCAGTGCTGCTGGAGTTTTTAAACACTGTGTCCACTCACTGTCCACTCTATTAGACACTCCTACCTTGTCAGTCCAGCTTGTAGATGTAAAGTCAGAGACGATAGCTCATCTGCTGCTGCACAGTTTGTGTTGGTCATCCTCTAGTCCTTCATCAGTGGTCACAGGACACTGCCCACAGGATGCTGTTGGCTGGATATTTTTGGTTGGTGGACTATTCTCAGTCCAGCAGTGTCACTGAAGTGTTTAAAATTTCCAGCAGCACTGCTGTGTCTGATCCACTTGTACCAGCACAACACAATAACACGTCACCACCATGTCAGTGTTACTGCAGTACTGAGAATGATCCACCACCCAAATAATACTGATCTGTGGTGGTCCTGTGGGGGTCCTGACCAGTGAAGAACAGGGTAAAAGGGGGCTAACAAAGTATGCAGAGAAACAGATGGACTACAGTCTGTAACTGTAGAACTACAAAGTGCACCTATATAGAAAGTGGAGCTGATAAAATGGACAATGAGCGTAGAAACAAGGAGGTGGTCATAATGTTATGTCTGATCAGTGTAAATATATATATATATATATATATATATATATATATATGTATGTATATATATAGGATATATTACCTGCTCTGAAGGGGTTTCCATAAATGATCCCTGATAGAAACCTTCGCAATCTGCCCACAGAGAACCTGCCAACAAATCCTCCAAGCTGCTCGCGGATCTGTTCCCTCTCAAAGCCGCCCACTGACTCCGGTGCTACACATATATCTGATTAAAGAAGTAAAGGCAGTGATGAGGGCAGTTAGCAGGACGTGCAGGGCAATATATTAATAATAAAACATAAAAGCCATCTATCCATCTCTACACATGCATCCTTCAACTGCACTTTGCATTTATAGAGACTGGAGAAGAGCTGCAGTAGTCTGAAGTCTGAAATACCACCAGTTAAATGAATGATGAGAATACATACATTGTTAGCTGTATTAAGCGAGTGGTAGTATCAGCTTCCAGTGCTACTCACCTAAACGTCCATCAAGTCGCACATAAAGCTCAAATACACTGAAGGCTATGGTGGTGTGGGCTGGAATAACAATGGCTTTATCGCGGCCCTTGGGGTTTCGGCCGTCGTCTATCTGAAACTGTGGGAGACAGGTTTTAGAGATGTGCCTTGCAGGCTGCCATACGTTTATGTTTGTGAGTGTATGTGGCATTACCCTCATGGTAGTCCCACGCATGCCAGCGTGGACAGTGAGGGAACATTGCCGTGTGGTGCGAATACTCTCCATGACGACACACAGCACGGTTCGCCCACTGTCCTTAGACTGACGGATCAGGCAGTGGTCAAGGTCCACTTTCCTAGAGGAAGAGACAAATTGACATAGAGACTGATGTTTACAGAACCTGCAGATTTTATATTTGCATTCTCTTCTGATATTCTTTTATTTAGGATATGACCTACAGTAAAAAATTGAACACCCCTGGCCAAATTACATGTGAAAATAAGGGAACAAACTTAAATAAGGCAGTTTTTATGCGATTTTAGTGCACAATTTCTATTTATTTGCTGAGTTTTACACATTGGAAAAGATAAAACATAAAATGTAAAATGTGCCACTACTTTTGCACAAACAACATTTTTTGTTTTATCTTTTTTGCCCATGTTAAATTTAGCAAACAAACAGTAAGTCTGCATTAAAATGTCAACGCTTAATGTAATTTGACAGGGGCACCAAAGACTGTATGTTCTGATTGGTTGCCCTGTATTGTGCCTCATTCACAAAAGCAGTCTGAAACATTTCAGCATGAATGGGAGGGGCTAAACTGCTGTAGTCTGAATCAGTGAAAAAAAATGTAAATGTGTTGGTTTTTTGTGACATCACAAAAACAATTCAAAAGGCCTGCTTTCTACTGCCTAATTTCCATATATGGACTGTGTGGACGGGGGACCCTTCCCTGTGATAAAGTAATGCATGGCTTCAAGGGGCTTATTGCTTTTATAAAATGGCGGCCAACATAAAATATGATAAAATACACAATTTCACAGAAAATAATTTAAGTTATTATTAATAATAAACAACATAAGCAAGTATTCCACCAAGAAATGTAGTTCCTTTAGAGTGCGGTATTGGTCCCAAGCAACCACTGACTGCTTAATTAGAAGAAGAACTTTTGGACCCCATCACTGTATATTGTGGTCATTTCATGAACTTTTTAACTTTTTGTTGTATAACATTGAACGTATGATAACACAGCACTGTTTAATGCAAATACTTTTTGGTCACCAAATTACCACCATCAGTCTTATAGAACACCAATCCAATGGCCCCCCTCTTCTCACACTGGGGCTGAACCTCAAATAGCTCCCTGCTCCCTTTTATATTGTCATTTTACATGAATCATACAGTAAGTACTTTAATACAAGTCTGTGATGTTAATGATAGGGCTGTTTAGGCTGCTATCTTTTAGCCTGTTAGCTAGCTGACCAGCTTAGTTCTAGTTAAGAAAATAAGCTGCTAGCCCCCCAGTTTAAACAAAAAACAGGTTCTTACTTCATTAATATACTCCATGCAGGCAGCATGAGAGTCAAAGATTATTCCATTAACAGCACAAGGATTTTATGTGATGTGGCGTAGTGATGCAGAGTGTAGTTGCTGTGAGCCGGTATGCGTTTATTTTGTATTTTACAACATGGCTTCGAACGCCGCTCGGTCAATCATGTTTTAGGACCAGAACTATCCATGTAAGAAGATACATTTTGATTGTTTTTATTGTTTTGCTGAATACATTGTTGTTCAATGTTATTTCGCTGTTGTTTTTTCTCTGTAAAGCACAGTGTGTATAAATCTATAACTAAAGTTATAATGGCTGTTTATCAGAACTACCAGCAATAAGTGTTCCCGTCAAATACATGTATATCTAAATAATGAATGTGATTAGGCTTTTTCCTATGGCGCAGTGGCTTTTCCTAATTCAAGTCTTTGTACCTTGAGCTCAGCTCCCTCAGTAAGGTAGGAACCTCCACCTCGTGTTTGGTCACAATCCCAAAGGATGCTTTGACTGCTACAGAGTCTGAACCACTGATGTTGACGCCCACTTCATGAATCAGGTGGTTTCCCAGGCGCCCGTTTAAGGACACATCTGACTTGTCTTCGTAGTTGAGAAGCTGGTAGGAGGACACACCTAACAGCCACAGACAGACTGAGTTACACATCACTCATGATCAGGTAACACATTATTTAAAGGTTACATGTATATTTGCAATATGACAAGATGTTTTATGAAGTAAAGTACATAGAGTGGCGTATATTTATTCTATTTAGAAGCTTTTCATGAAGGATTGTTCTCATGTAACAGAACTTCTAAGGCAGAGGCTAAGTTAAGATTGACAAATATCAGTTCTATGGAAGATTTTGATGCCCTGAAAGTGATTATTTTCATACATATTTTCCTGGTTCTCGTTAGTTTGAGGGGATCTTTCATAGAACTGACACCAACTATGGTGATCTTAACCTGGCCTTAACTAATTATGGCTTAAAGAGGAAAGAGGAATTCTTCTTTTTTATTTCTACATAATTCAGTCTTTGGGATGTAAACAAAGTAATTCAGAGTGGTTTGATATAAAATGGTTCATTGTAGAAGCTGAGATTTCTTTCCAGTGGTGGTGATAGGAAGCAGGGCTCATGACAACACAAATATAGCTGATTTATTTACTATCCAAAATGACCAGTGAACATACATGTCTTTTAAATTTTAAATGTTATGCTGACAACAGTAAAGTAGTGGTAAATCTGACTAGTTTGCCTTACAACCCCCTGCATAAATCTCTATATATACAATATAGTTTACTTCTTAAACATTTGAAAACTGACATATGCTGTTCATAAATACTGAAGTATTGCTTTTTAAATGTATTTAAACGCTTATGCCTGTGTGAAGTCCCAGTGTAGATACTACTATAGGTACTGATGATACTCATTATATACTTGGACCACTTTACCAAATTAGTTATTAGTTATATTATATAACTTTTTTATTTTTTTATTTTTTAAATTTATTTTAAAGTGATGTTTAAAAATTTGAATAATGTTTAAAGAATATTTTTAAGAAAATATTTTATTAAAAAAAATACTTTATTCAAAAAATGCTGTGTCATGTTTTCATGTCACTACAGAAACACAGAGTTTTAGTCTATAGGCGGAGCCTTATTTTAGCCACACCCATGCACTTTAGAGTGGAAGTGAGACTGCATCTCTGTCTCTCATGGCTACATGATGAGCCATTAAATCCCATTGTTTTGAAGTAAATGTGTCCCAAAGTCTGAAAATCAGTGTGTGACATTAAGAATGGTCACTATTTTCTGTAATTTTGAGTTTTAATGAAAAAATCTATTTAAAGCTGAGATCTGCTCATAATGAGCTAAACTGCAGTTTCACTACAGTAACACTGGGTAAAGTTTTGGTAGTGTTATGGTTGTTTTAGTAGTGACAAAACAAAATTTTCCTAAAATAAACTTAATTAAGGTAATTAAGGGTCACTGAAAGCAAAAGGTGAAGTCAGTGAAAAAAAGTCCAAAATGTGGTTTAAATTCTGACTTTGAACCAGTTTGGGAGAATCGGGAGAATGATCAACCTAGAAAAATATATGTCGACACAATTTATTATGATTGTTATAACATACCATTATATTGCCCAGCCCTAAATACACCTGTTATTTCTTGTACTACATATAATAATAATTTCATTAATAACTTCTCACATTCTTACCTGCAGTAATCTCCTTTTCTCCCACGAGTATGTCTTTCAGTGAGAACGGGGTTGAGGCATATTTGGTTTTCTTCCAGAAATGTCTTCTCCTTTTCCTGGTCACCAGGCTGAGGGGCTGGTATCGGTCAGCCTCACTGAGGCTGGGGACGGGAATCAGCCGCCCGGTGTCCCCAACCTGCTTCACAAAGTTCTTAGTTGCGGCTGCGAACATGCCGAAAGTTCACAGCTAGGTCGGTCAGAGGAACAGGAGTCTTCTCATAACTGCTATGACTCGAGATGGCCTTTGTCTGGACTGCATGGTTGCCTCTTGTGAGCTGAATGAGAGCAGAGAGCGTGCTGAGGCTGTTCAGGCACACGGGTGATAAATAATGAAGAAAGAACAGTAAGCTGATAAGGGTGTCCTCTGTCAAATGTGCCATGTGGTCTCCTGTCGCCTTGTCAACTTTAGATGGCCTGATACCAAAGCCTTACACCATAACTGCATTACCAGATCCATACATACGGTTTGTTGGTATTCATTTGTTGGCAACAGTTCAGGTTACAAATAAAGATCACTGGGCTACTTGCACACTCTACTTTGTAATTACTGGGCTGATTGTCATTATAAAGCAGCCTGCAGTGTTATGACTTGGTTAGGTGCATTCAGGTAGATAATATATTACCACAGTAAACACTTGATCCATGGGGGGCTCTGTGTTCCCTTAGTAGTGGTTAGGTAGGGGTTGAATTCTCCCCTCCCCTTAAATGAAAAGGAACATTACTTCATTGACATTGAACACTAGCTGTGTTCTGTATGCGACCCTGTCAGTCTGCAGTGACAGCAGAGGAGGGTAAAGTTCAGAAACCTCACTGTTTGGCTTTTGTTACATTTAGGGCCTCATATGCCTTCAAAGAGAGGGGGACAATTTTTTATTATCGCCCACCCCTAATTCTTCAGTGATATGAAGCTAAAGTCAGCCATTTACCAGCTTCTTGTTCGAATTTTCCTGTTCCACCTTAAATGAAGCAGCAGTTACATTCTGGCGCTTGAAGCATCAGTACGGCTGGACTATATAAGCTGGAATGGGTAATTTATCTAGCTAGCTACTGAGACATCAGCAAACTACTAGTGATTTTTTGTGCTTGTTATGATGAAAAGGACGATAATACATTGAAATAACATTAAACTAAGATAATACAATTGTTATCGTATTTTTTTATGGAGAAAATTCTCACATCTGTGGGTTTCTTTGGTGACTCGCGCAGCCATCTTGCTGTTTTTTCTTTTTTTTCTCATAACACTCTGTTTGTATCTGAAAAACCTCTGTGTGTATCTGAAAAACCTCTGTTTGGAGAGCTGTATAGCCCTAACACTTCACTCTACCCCTCTATCTCAACAAGAATCGGGACACCCTACCTCTAGACGTTAACATGCAAAACAGAGGGCTAAGGGCTAAGGGGTAGGGGCGAGGGGTGAAATGGGACTGGGACTTAGGATGTCCAGCTACAGAGCAATCGGAGTTGTCCGGGGATCTTCAGGCGAGATCAGTGGACCCCCTTCAGCTTACATTGATACACGTTTGCCTCGGACAACTTACTTCCACGCTGGGTAATTGCAACACATAGCCTTTGGGATAGGGACCCTAGCCTGGACATAGCCTGGACGTCACGCAGTTTAATATGAACAGGTAATCAGCATCTGAGCTGAAAAAACACAAATTAGCAAAACTGAGAAAGAACAACATTAATGTATCTATTACTATTTACAGTTGTATGCAAAAGTTTGGGCACCTCAGACCGAATTATGTTTTGTTGATTTTGTAAGTGAAAATAACACGTCCTCAACAGAGATACCACTTCTGCATATTTTAATAGTGTAATATTGTTAATTTTCTGTGTTTAACATATTAAAAAAATCTGATTTGTGCAAAAGTTATGGCACATTTTAGATTTTCCCAATATGTTAACCTCAGCAAATAAATAGAAACTGTGCACTAAAATTTGTGTTCTCTGTAGAGGATTTTTACTATTTGTACTATTTTGACTAAAACACTACAGTATTTTTCACTAAGAAAATCAACAAAACGTAATGTAACCAGGAGTGTTTACATTTTTTCATACAGTTGTATATTACACACTATTGCACTTGTATTAATAGTTTTTGCTTGGGGCAAAAAATCATACTTAATACTGTTTGAGTTAATCATGCAGGAATATGATAAATACTTCATGAGAAAGCCTTCTGGATGTAAGTGAATTAAATGATAAAGCACATGTGCTTTCCTTCCAGGACATCATCTGTAACATCTGGTCTTCTGATTCTGTATATGGTATGTTAAATTTAGGCTTGCAGCCTGTTAAACAAGCATTCTCTGCAAATGCGGCCACTACGGAAACATGTAACATCCTTCCCTGGAATAGCCGTCAGTTGTCCCAAATGTATTTGAAGAATCAGAAAAGGTTCAGAACATTAACATAAGTGTCTCTAAAAACTAAATGAACATAGATGTAAGGGATGGTACTAGTAGGTACTATGCAAAAGTCAGAGACCACCCTTTTCAGCCAAAATGGCCATTAAGTACATGTTGTTCATTTTTAAGAGATACGTATGGACAGATTAGATATAAGATAGCCCACTTGCAGGAGAAAAGCCAAAAGTAAAAAAAAGAAGGAGATTAAAACATTGGAAAAAATTGGACTTCTAACAACTGTGCAAAACATGGTAGACCATCAAGTCTGTCCCCATCAGACAAACAGTATTTAAAGCTTTCATCTTTGAGAGAAAGGAGAAAATCAAGCTGCGTCAGATCTGAAAAAATCCACAGGTGTTCCTGTCCATCCTTCCACTGTGAGAAGACAACTCAGGACTATGGGTCTGAAAGGATGTGTAGCTGTTGAGAAGCTCTTACTGAGAAAAAAGAAAATTTGCAAATCAAACAAAGAAGCTGCTGTGGATCTCAGAACAGTAAACTGACCAACCCAGACTGAGTCCAGACCTCAGCATCACAGAGTGTGTTTAAGATTATTGGGATTGTGAGAAGCAGAAAATGTAACCAATTTCTAAGACTGAACTTTGTAGGTGTGGAAAAATATCCCTGCAGATTTCTTTGAAAAACTGAAAGCCTCCTGAAAAGAATGGATGATGTGATAAAGGCAGAGCCTGTTAACATTAACATTATGGTGTCCAGGTGTCCCCAATTTTGGTGGCCTGTCCCCAGCTGGAGCTGTCCTCAGAAATGTCCCTGTTTTTAACTGTGCATTAATAACACACCAGAAAGTCCTAGGAAAATGTAACAGCAGACGTCTTGTGCTGTGCTTGTTTTGGCCAAAAGTGGGGGCTGGCTGCTGCTATCTACTGACCATTTCTACCACTTGCTTGCCTAGTTTTAAAGAATACTGCTGTGCAAAACTCCACCAGAAACTAGCAAGTGTCAAGTACAAGTTAACCCAGGGATTGAATGCAGGGGTGGGATTACAGGACTTGACTTGTACTACCAGGTGATCGGTGGGCTATCTAATTTGTATAGACAAACCTGCTACCATATGATTTACAAATAGCGCTCATTTTTTAAACTACATCTCTTTTTCAGCCATCCATATGTTAACAGCAGCCGTCTCTGTTTCTCCAGAAATAGAGCCAGCCCAGGGTGTGTTTAGAGTCTGGCTATTGGGCTGTAACCATGGGTCCCTTTTCTGTATGTTCATATTTCAGATCAACATGAATTATGGGCTCAGAAAAAACACAGAATCTTCTGTGGCAAACGAATCCCTGCATCATCTCTGCCTAAACCACTAGACTTCGTGACTTTTGAGACCCTTTTTACTTTTTAGTGACTTTATTTCTAAAAGCAACAAGTGACAAATCTCACAAGGAGCAAAGCAAGAAATATTAATCTTTTATAGGACTATTGTAATTTATTTCTATGCATGCTGACGTTTTTCATTATTGAGTGTTTCATAGTTTACCATAGCTTCACTCACCATGGTAGGCCACTGTATGATTTTCTGACATGGTTTAAAATGTTACTTAGGTAGCAACCGATTTTACCATTCAGCCTTCAGCATTGATTATTACAGTACAACAGTTACCATTATCAAAATACATGAAAGTAGAACTGTCTCCCCTTTTTTATTTCATAGCTAAGAACATTGAATTTTTTTTTACCCCTTGACCATGGGCCATGGCCAGGGCCTGCTGGAGGGTCCAAAGTTTTATTATACACTTCTATAACCTAAGAATAGCTCAACCAGTTTGCACTGAAGTCTCTGTAGTTACTGTATAATAAGCCTTACTCAGTAATAACCCTGGGATTTTAAGGGGTTAATGATATATTGACCACTGAACTGGAAATGTCCCAGGTTTTTATTCAGGATTTTGGTCACCTTGATTTTACACATTTTGTGTAAGGATCGTATTTAGATAAACAGATTTGGACAGATTCCATTTACACTTTTCACTAAAATGCATCCCCACTATGACCAGATGAAATCCAATTGTACTTTTCATGCATAAAAAGCATGTCAACACACACACTGTTTCCATTTATCACATTTTTCTCTATTTTATCATCATCAACATAACATATAAAAACTCATTCAAGCATTCAAGCCTAGATTTAATTATAATGTCTATAATGGCTATATTTGCATTGCAGACGTTGTGACTCCTGGTTCCCATCACTACCACTGTAAAGAAATCCAAGTCAGTACATTTCTCTACAATGCAGTATTTCACATCAAACCTCTCTGAATGACTTTGTTTACATCTCAACAATTGAATTATATAGAAATTTTGAAAAAAAAGTCCCCTTTAAGCATACTTTAAGTATACACCTTGTCCACCCCTGATTTCAGCCAGTGTTACTGCCTTTTAGCTACTGTACTGGACTGTTGGCCCACTGCTGAGTGGTTGCCATGTAAAACAGCACTGCATTCTTAAGAGGGCAAAGGTACCGTATTTATGGAATAAGTCACTCACACATGACCTCATGTGGCTCTCCCTGTAATTTCACTACTGGGTGGAGAAAGTAAAGCCAGATCCTGTTTGAGGAACATTTTACGAAACATCTACATCTGAAAAAGAGCTCTCATACAGCTCTGTCTGCCGCTGTTAGAAAACAAGCAAATGGGTCAGCGTTTACACTGGTTCATTGTGGCCTTGGCCTGGGTTGTCCCTGAAGTCCGAGTGTTAGTTGGGCAAATATGACGATAAGAACAGTAAATAAGTACCTACAATTTGCCATGGGAACAAATTACCTAATATACTACAGTGAACAACTGTGGGGAAAAGAGGAAATGAGCGAAAGGGAAACTCAATGTTGTTAACTTTGTTTCTTATACAGGACTTATTCATGTCCTGAGATCATAGAGAGATATGGTTTGTGTCCTTTGAGGAGATCTTTAAATCACCCAACATCGCTGCCTAGTCCAACCAAAACAGTCATAAAGAAGGGTTATAACAATGCTCTATTCGGTTGCTCTCCAGAAACCATGCTGAAAATAACCACAGGCACAATCTACCTTACATGAGCCTTTCCCTGGAGGAGTCTTTGAGATTTTTGAGATTATTTTTTTCCACTAAAGTCCACTTTCAGCATCTGTGTGGTTTTATGCATCTGAATCAGTCATAATTAAATTTATATGATCATTTTCCAAATTCTCCTTATTTCTTAGAATTAAACATGCTACTTTTGTTACTGTGCCTTTAATGATATATGTAAACAAGCTCTGTTCTGATTGGCTGCCCTGTTTTGTGTTTTGCTTAACAAGCAGTACAGGCTGAAACACCCATTATAACATTGGTATGAGTGGGTAGAGCTAAACTGCTACAGGCTGAATAGGTGGAAATATGTACATGTGAGCGTTTTCATAACATCACAAAACCAATAAATCCAAAACAGACTGTTTTTTGTGACATGGCTAACATATAGGGAGCTTATGGACTGTATGTTTTGAATATTTAACAATGTTTACCCACTACATCAAACTCTTATTTGGTAAAAGTTATTAAAGTTGTTTTTTTCATGATATAAGCCCTTTAAGGTCATGTGGTAAACTATGTTAACAGTTCATCAGATATGTTCCATCACTGCAAACAAATGCTCAAAATAAAGGTCAGAATCATGCATTCACTTTCTCAGCGAACAGGACCTCTCTTTGTGCCATTCAATGGCACAGGAACAATGTTTTGGGTGTTAGATGTACAGGGCTTATATCTTTTTCATTTTATTTTTCTCATCAGGTTCACTTGTAATTTTTGTAATCTTTGGTTTTATGTAGCAAAAATGATCATAGTTCAGTTTTACATGAAAATTTTCCAACCTCTCTTTACTCCTCAGAATTTAACCATTCTTTTGCTGTGCGTTTAAAACTGATACATGCAAATATTCTCTTGTCTGATTGGCTGCACTGTGCTGTGCTTCACTCAAAAAAAAGTCCAGACTAAAATACTCCATATAATTTTTGTATTGATGGGTGGGGCAAAATATGACGGTACATGTAAATGAGTTAGTTCTTGTGACACTAAATTCACTAAATTCAAATCTGGCTGTTTTTCCAGTGTAATTTCCATAGATGGACTATATGGCCTGGGGTGTGAGTGGTACATTTTGGAACTTTACCAATGTGTACACATCAATAAAGCAAGCAAAATTCAGTTTTCCATGCCTTTAACATGTGAAACATTGCTCTGTAGGATGACTACCAGCATAATTATACAGGGCCTGTTCCAAAAAATCTGTTTTACAAATCTATTTTTGGCTTCATTTCACTGTATAGTCATTAAATAGGACAGCTATGTCTCAATGCCACTGTGCTGGAGCAAAGATGATGATTCCACACTGTGGCAACATGGCCCACACAAGGTGGGGTAAAACACCCCAAAGTGTCATAGAGATGGCTGTTAGAGAGGGTGCAGATACATAAGAATCTACAGCTCTACTATTTAGCCAGCATGCCTATTGGCCACCCAAGATTTGACCCAGGATTCCACCGGTGTGAAGCCTGAGCCCATAGAGCACACAGCTGATTGAGGCCAACAAGAACATAACAGCTGCTTTTCTCCACTTCCTTTTTCATAAACTTATTCAATCTGCTAGAATCCTTGTCTCCAGAGGCAGGGTGATAAATCTACTCCAGTTATCACCTCTCACACAGCTGTTTTCAGCATCTCTAGGTGCTGAGGAACTGAGGCCTACCCCTAAACAGTAAAACAGCTGGTTAAGCCATGGAGAAAACTCTAGGAAATGGGTGTTGGGTTCCTAAACACTTCATCATTAGATCTAAATTTGGAGGCTGGCAGTGGAATCTGGAGAAGCCATTTGATCAACTGTGAGGCATATTTAACATAAAGTGCAACTAATTTTTCAAAATTTCTGCATAATTTAATGGTTAAGATGTAAATAAAGCCATTCAGAGGTCTGAAGTGACGTGCATGATTGAACCATCAAATGCATTTAGAATCAGCCACTGGTCACCTGTTAGCCAAAACACATTACAAAACTATTAGGAACCAACAGAAACACTTGACTTATATGAGTTTTTTCAGAAGGGGTGTTCAATGCCTCTAAAAGCTACCTCACAAAAAGCTTTCACATTAACTTGTTTTGAATATGTTGCCTGATGCACCAGTTTTGTAGATAAATAGTTCTGCGATAAAGTTTTGGCCTTTGGTCCCCAAAGAAAACTATTTATTATTTGTTTTCAGTGATTACCAACATTTTGCTGCTGTCGGAACAAAACCTTGTATCTCCATTTTTGTTCTTTTTCAGTTTTTGACATAATTTGAAAAAGTCTGTGGCCCTTTACATTCTGTGTAAATTACATGATGAATGGACAAACAGAAATGGGCCAAAATGACTCGGAAGTCTGGTTCCATCAACTTACATTAAAAGTAAAGCAGGTTTTTCCTTCTCTTGTAAAGTTATCATTTTGGAGATATAAGGTTTCGTTCCAACAGCAGCGATATATGAAAGATCAAAATGTGTATGTGGCCATTTTGGATAGCAAAATAAAATTGCTATATGCGCGTTTTGCGACCCCTGGTTCCTAATTGCCACCATTATAAATAACGTTGATTTGGTACGTTTCTCTACAATTAACCATTTCACATCAAACCACGTTGAATGACTGAATTATACAAAAAGTTCTGTTCTTTAAGCCTGAGCCAAGATTAAAAGTTTTCAAAGGTGAACCGCCTAATAATTTAGTCAAATACTATAAACTTTGTGTCTTAAAGAAAATTAGCTGGCTAAAACGCCACTTTACAATATGTGATATTTTGATAATTTCGTAATGTTGCTCCTTTATAACTTCGATATACACATTTTAAAAAGATAGGTCCTAGAGTAAAGGCAATGGTTCTATGTAGATCCATGAGTTCTATATAGGACCATTTCGTGCTTAAATGGTTCTTTGCAAGGTGAAATGGTTCTTCAGACTGTTGTCCATGATTCTATATAGCACCAGAACAGGGTTCTTCTATTGTTTCAAGCTTGACATAGCAACATAACAATAGCAGAACTCTTTTTGGTGCCAAGAACAATTTAGGCATGAAATGGTTCTATACAGAACTCAAGAACCCCTAAAGAACCATCTTTTTAAGGTGAGCAGCCTTAATTTTCTCATTTTGTCAGATTTCATGACTCGTGTTTCTCCACAAGCTATTTTCCTCCAGATGCTATTTTAGCCTTAGCTGCCTGATGAAAGGCCTCGAGGGCAGAAGTGGGCGGGCCACGCCTGCACGAGCTGCCACGAGCGCGCACCAGTGGCAGAGCCTGGCTGGTGGCTGCACAGTTCTCGGTTTAGAGGGGGCACAGCTTCTGGATGCTAAAGACCTGACGCCGGTAAACGATAGCCGGTGACCCCTCCTGCCCACTCCGCTGGACCCCGGCGGACTGCTGTGGTGAAAATGACCGGGACTCTCAGGATAAGCGTGTGGCTCGTGCTCGCCGTGGTCCAGGTATCGCTCGTGACATGCCAGGATGCTCCTAAGACCGGTGAGTGACTCCTCGGATACTGTGATTTGAGGTAAATGACGCGCTGTTTTACACACGGACTTGAATTTAATGATGCTGCAGAATTGTTAAACGCTGGACAATTAAATAATGACCAGTGAAGTCACACCTGGACTACGTCACAGGTCTTGGCTCAGGTGTCTTTTTCAGTGACATGAGCATAGACCTCCAGTTCTCTGTGGACTTTTACTGTGTGACCTTTATTAAAGCGTTAGCTTAGCTCCAAATATGACTCAGGGCTTTGTTGGTAGAGACCCTCATCACTGTATTCTATGGGTTTTTATAGTGTTGAATTAACAGCCTAGTGTTTATTTGTGTCAACCAATAACTATGGTTGTTAATAACACAGTTTTAGAGTTAATTATACGCCAGAAGAGTTAATTGTAGGTGCTTAGTCGGCACTGTAGGTGTTCAGATGTTGGAAATGTTGTTTGTGTGACTTCAGGACACAACTTGAAATCCAATTCAGGATTTGAAGTCACTGATCATGATGTTTTATAAGAAACTGTGTGATGTATTCAGTTCAGCAAAATCCTCAGTAAATTAATACCTACTGTGAGGACATTAACACTTACAGTTGATGGATTAAAGGGAAACTCCAGTGATTTTTTAAAAATATCAGAATAATTAAACCACTGAGATGTAAATAATGCAGTTTGGTTTGGGGTTAATGTGAAGTACACCATTGTTGAGAAACTTGCCTAGTCAGAATTGTTCACAGTGGTGGTGGTAGGAACCAGACGTCCGAAGAGAAAGTTACAACATTAAATAGTTAGGAATATGCTGGCTTATGTCTTAGACGTTGTTGACAATAGCTTTGAGTGACAGTTTTGGCCTTAATATATTTTTTAAACTGTATTAATAGTGGAGAGGCACATGCTGTGTGTTGTAAGGAAAAATAGTCCTCAAAGAAAACATATTTTCGGATTTACCACTATTTACCATTATCTGTGTTACATATAGAAACATGTATAGGTTGGCTGGTCATTTTTGGATTGTCAATAAAATGGATATTTGCATTGTGGACGTCACATGCCCATCACTACCACTGTAAAGAAGAGTCAGTAAGTCTATTTACAGTGGACTATTTCACATCAAACCACACTGAATGACTCCATCGCAACAACTGACTTACACAGAAACTCTCCTTCTTCAGTGTTAACTTCTCTCCTACAATGTCTATTTGTATCCAGCTGGACACATATAAACACCGTAGGCGTTAATTCAACATTGAGGTTTCTGCTGTGTATAAATTTCCCAAATAAAACTTTGTATTTAGTTCCTGTTTTATTGATGCAGGCCCCGTATTTCTTGGGCCCTTAGAACATAATTCTTCATATTTATCATGCCAGCAAGAAGTGACATCATGACATTACACGTGTTTAGATCACAGGTACCTTTACTGCTCCTTTTTATGTGCACATGTTATGTTTATGCTGCTTTATTTATGTTCTAAATCAAATCTGTGGCTTTCAGGCTAATATTTTTACTGAATTTGCCTCAGGTACACACATCCCATCCAACTAAGTTGTGAAGTGCCACCACACAGGAAGTTACCCAGCAGGATCTGAAAATAGCACCACACTTCAGGATTGGGAATTCATTTATTTTTAAAAACCATTATGATTTAAAGTGTTTTACTAGGAGGGGCTGTCCAAATGCCATGACTGGCTGAGGCTTTTGCTGAGACAAATGTTTATTCGCAGAGACGCTTCTGAAAATGTTGCTTCCAAAATGGTTCTCTGAAGAAAGCAGTTTTCCATCTATCCCAGCCTGCAGCTCGGTGCTATTTGAGAGCGAGCTTCTACGGAGAATGAGAGGTTTCACATGGCCCTGTGTTTAATGATGTGAGGGTTTCACAGTGACTGCTGTGGGCCACCAATTTTGGTCAGCATGCTTCCCAAAGGACAGTGTCAGGGCACACCCTGTCATACAGTGTACTGTGTGAATTTATGCTGAAGTCACTTATGTGCACTAATGTCATATTAACCCACTGATTCTTGTGACATGACAGGAAATCAAAACTAACTGACTGTCATAGTCAAGCGCTCTTCTGTGCTGTGCTTTTAATTTTATAGAGGGATCAGTGTTAAATCCCTGCTTGCTGTGGTGTGAAATCAGTAATGAGCTCAGAGTATCAGGAATGCCTTCGCTTGGTAATTATGCCTGACAGAAAAACGTCACGACTGTCGCGTAATCCTGCTTGTAATGTTTTATGAGGGGCAGGAAACTGTCAATCATAGGCATCAATAAACTGTGTCATGTCTGAGGTGTGTCATATGGTACATAGGGCAGTAAGACAGTTGCTTAGCTCTTAACTATATTGCTTTTAATATATATTTAATGTATACTCCAAAATGTTGAGGATATTTATGTTAAGCTCCAGACAGAGGGTGTGTCCTCTCTTTCTGACAGAAATAAAAGTTGCCCGCAAAGCAGAAGTTAAGCTGAACGTATAATAGAGGCTTCTGTGGTTTGCCTAAAATAACGTCTGTGCTCTCCCACTAAATTGGTACTTGTAGTTTTCTTTTTTTTTCCCCAGAAAAAGACGCTGGTTCAGATATGCTTTAGGTCGACTACAGCAGGTGGCTTTCGGATATATGTTTAATCAGGGCGTCAGGTTATTTATCAGGGCATTCCAGTCAAAATGGACATTGAATGACCAAATAATACGGAGGAAATAAGGCTCCTAACACTAGTGCAAGACCTGGTAGACACAAAAACTGTCACCATTGAATAAACAGCACTTCGCGCTTTAATCTTTGAGAGAAAGGAGAAAATCAAGCTCCACTCTTACTTCAGATCTGAAAACATCCACAGGAGTTTCTGTCCATCTTTCCACTGTGAGAAGACAACTCAACACTGTCTAAAAGGATGTGTAGCTGTCAAAAAGGAAATACTGAGAAAAGGAAATAGACAAAAAAGAAGAACATTTGCAAATTAAACAAAGCTGCAAGTCTTCTCAGAACAATGGACTGACCACCTCAGAGTCCAGAACTCAACATCACTGAATGTGTTTGGGATTATTTGGATTGTGAGAAGCAGAAAATGTGACCAACTTTCTAGACTGAATTTTGGAGGTGTCACTAAATACTGAAAAGTTGTTTTTAGTTATGTTTACTTGTTGAGGCTTCTATTTAAGTTTCTGTTAAATATGTTCTCTGCTTCTTTTCTGGACACTGAAAATGAATAACTTGCACTCAACGGCTATTTTGACTGGAAATTTGATGAAGGGTGATCTCTGACTTTTGCACAGTATTGTGTCCATGTGCAATTATTGTACTTATAACTAGTGTGTTGACATTTTATCTACTTACTGTATGGATAGAATATAGGTTTAAATTGTTAGTGATGGGCTACAAATAAAGATTTAAAGGAGAACGCCAACATTTTTAATCTTATCTCTATGTGCCTCATGGGTAGCATATGATTGATTACCACAAACAATAATTTCAATGCAGAACAGACAAGAACAGACAAACTGCTGACACAAAATATAATAGGAGAAAATGGACAAGTGCTAAAGCAACTGCCCATTAGCTTTCATTTTAAGGGAAAGAAGTCATCAAAATGATTGTCTTTAATAATGGACCTTATTCGACAAAGTTTCCAGATTAAGATGTAAAATGCAGGAATAATCCTTTATTAATCTTTTCTTTCCCACTTCAGTTCTATTTCGTGTGAGGTCTCCTCTGATCTGACCTCACTGTAGGCAGCACTGAACGTATCAAAGAGACAGAGTGGGTTGGTAAAAGGGGCTAAAGACCTTCTCTGTTAAGCAAACCCACAGTGGCTCCAAGAGAACTTCCATATGGTTCTCCTGTTTCCGCTCAGTCATTATCACACTGCCACATTTGGAACGTCTCTAACTGCACTTAGAAAATAATCTCCGCTAAACAATCCCTCCTAAATTAGTCACCGAAGCCCCCAGAGATTGTACAGTTTCTTGTATCTAGAATCCAACAACAAAAGCACCCACTTTTGGCACAGCTATGTGTAGCTCATTATTATTTGATGACAGCAAGACCCCCCTTGAGCATCTGCTGAGACAAGCATAGTATATAATCACCTCGATTTACTCTCTGATCTGTCGTCTGAGCGCGCACGGCCATCAGTCTGAGAGTATCAGCGTCTGGCGATGAGCCTTAAAATCACAGACAAACACAGCTTACATGTTTAAAAAGAGACAGGGAGAACGCCAGGCTGTCATCTTCCTCTGTTTGTGAGTTTTTATGAAACCATGAATTATACGCTTCTGGCATCAGGATGTTTGTGGTGAGAGCGCTATAATCTATGAACAAAAGGCCAAAGGCTCACTTTCACACACTGAAAGTTCAGCATGCTTCAGAGTGTTGTAAGCTGCCTCCCTGATATTACTGCCCTATCATTAACAGAGAGAAACTGTAAATCTTTAATTAAGACTTTTTCTGTTGCGTAGAAGTGATTCAGAATGTAACATGTGGTGTAATGTCTGTCGATATATTTCTGTTGTACATAATTCAGTATTTATGGGGACCTAGCAGTTGTGAAGAAGGTATTTCATTTTACAGATCTTTGACACGATACTGTGAAGAAAAGGTGTCGTTTTAATTGGGGCGAATCTTATTTGCAGTTCTGCATAGGATAGATCCTTTTTTGTAATCTCGAGGGAGCTGAATTAATGGGAGATTGCTAACTTGAGGTTTGATTTTGTTCTCTATAGGCAGGGTTCGATTAGAGGGGGCATGCAGGGGGATGGTATCGTCTTGCATCCCCCCTCTGACAGAATATCATGCTATTTGCCAACCTCTTTATCCTACCCCTCTGGATTAACCCCTTAACATTCCAAGCTTATTACATACATACATACATACATCATCTAAACCGCTTATCCTTCTGGGTCACGGTGGGGTGCTGGAGCCTATCCCAGCTGTCATTGGGCGGAAGGCACGATACACCCTGGACAGGTCGCCAGTCCTTCGCAGAGCTTATTACATACAAAG